TTCTCCCTTTTTTGCGCCCTCTTTTCCGTTCATTTCCCTCATCCTATTGTATATCCAGCGTGATAACTCATCCCAATCGTCCATTCCCATCCCTTAATCTGAACTATCCCCTCTCACTCTCCCCCTCATCTTCTATATTTTTACTTATTAATTTATTTATTTTATAAACTTAGTTATTACATTATCCCCTCATTTTAAAAGAATTTTGGTCCCTCAAATTTTGTTATATTACCTTAAAGAGCTGTGAAATAGTTGCTCCTCATCTCATCCTCCCATTCCCAGGTTGCTTCATCATTTTGTGCGATGTCGCCATCATATATTCACCATAGGTATTATTCTACTTCTCAATTTCTTTTCTTGTCGTTCAAGGACACGGATCAATTCTTCTTCATAGGTTAAATCCTTCTCCAATAGTAATAACTCATACTATATAATGTGTTTCAGATCAGGGTGATACTTATGTAGCATAGAAATCTGAAATACATCGTGAACCCCACTATACCGCAGAGGAAATACTATTTGATTTGCAATAGTACCCACCTTCTCGAGAATCTCAAAAGGCCCTATGAAACGAACTCAACTTCCCTTTTTTCCCAAATCTTAACAAACCCTTCATTGGTGACATTTTCAAAAACACATGATCTCCTACATCAAAGCTCAAATCCCTCATACAATTGTTTGCATATCCTTTCTGTCTATTTTAGGCTGCCTGTAAATTTTTTTGTATCACTAACACCTTAACTGTAGTTTCTTCCACTAGTTCTAGCCCAATCAACTATCTATCTCCAACTTCTTCCTAACACACTAGTGACCTGCAGGGCTCACCATAAAGAGCCTCGTAAGGAGTCATCCCAATGCTAGTATGGTGATTATTATTATAAGTGAATTCCATCAGATGTAGCATATCCTCCAAATCTCCCCCTATGTCAATGACACATGCCTATAACATGTCTTCCAATACCTGTATAATTCTCTATGTTTGCCCATTCGTCTGTGGAAGAAAAGTTGTACTAAAACTTAACTTGGTACCCAATGTCTGTTGTAAATTTTTCCAAAATCTAGAGGTGAGCCTATGATCTCTATCTGAAACAATCGATACAGGAATACCGTGCAACCTTACCACCTCCTTGATATAAAACCTAACCAACTAATCCACTGGGTCCACCACCCTTATTGCCAAAAAATGGGAGGATTTAGTTAAATGGTCAACTACCACCTAGATATTATCATGCTTCTTGCAGTTTCTTGACAATCTGGTTACAAAATCCATAGAGATATGCCTCCATTTCCATTTGGGTATAGGCAAAGGTTACAACAAATCCCTAGGCCTCTAGTGTTCAACTTTCACTTATTGACACGTCAAGCATCTCGACACATATTCAACAACATCTCTTTTCATACCCCTCCACCAAAAACTTATCTGTAAATTCTTGCACATCTTGGTACTCTCAGGATGTATGACAAATTTGGTGTTGTGAGTTTCACTAAGTATTTTCTTTCATATCTCACTGTCATTGGGAACACACATTCTGATATGAAATTTAAGTAATCCATCACTATGTACATTGAATTCTGTCACTGTCCCTTACTCTACTCCCCTCATGATTGACTGTATCTTGGCGTCCACCATCTATCCCTCCTTGATTCTCTAGACCAAAGTAGGCTGAGCCCTCAAACTAGCCACATACTTCCCACTACCTTCTTCCCAAATCTGTAACTGTTGTATGGCTTTATGTGAATCCCACTCAGGCACCATCAAATGTGCCAACACCCCTGTACTCTTCCGGCTGAGGGCATTTGCCACTACATTTCCTGTTTCGAGATGATACCTGATCCTACAATCAAAATCTTTCAACAAGTCCATCTATATCCTCTGTTGCATATTTAATTCCCGTTGAGTGAATAAATATTGCAAACTTTTATGATTTGTATAAATTTCAAAAGTCTCCCCATACAAGTAGTGTTGCCACAACTTTAAGGCACAGACCACTGTAGCCAATTCCATATCATGTTTCATATAGTTCTTTTCATGTATCTTTAACTTTTGGGACCCATAGGCTATCACTCTCGCATACTGCATTAGTACACAACCTAATCTGAGACGAGAGGCATCATTGTACACTGCATATCCCCCTTCACCGGATGGAATGACTAATATCAAGGCAGTAATAAGTCTTCGTTTGAGTTCCTAAAAATTGTTTTCACAATCACCATCCCACTCGAACTTCACGTTCTTCTTGGTCAATCTAGTAAGGGGTGCTGCAATACTCAAAAATCTTTTGATAAACTGGCGATAGTACCCAGCTGGCCCCAAAAAACTTTTGAGTTCTACTACAATATTTGGTCTTTTCCACTTTACCACTGCTTCTACCTTTGCTGGGTCTACGGATACCCCATCTATCGACACAACGTGGCTCAAAAATGTTATTTGATCAAGCTAAAATTGACACTTACTGAATTTTGCATACAACTTGGCTTTCCAAAAAATCTTTAGTATTATTGCCTGATGTTTAGCATGTTCCACAGAATCTCTGGAGTATATCAGTATATCATCTATAAAGACAACCACATAACGGTCCAAAAGAGGTCTAAACACTCGATTCATCAGATCCATGAACACTGCAGGTGCATTCGTTAGTCCAAAAGGCATAACCAGAAATTCATAATGTTCATGCCTGGTACAGAATGTCGTCTTTGCAATGTTTTCTGCCTTAATCCTCAACCAATGATACCCGAAATATAAATCTATCTTTGAAAATACCTGTGTTCCCTACAATTAATCAAATAAGTCGTCTATCCTCGAAAGGAGATATTTATTCTTTATCGTTACTTTATTCAAATTTCGGTAGTCAATACACATTCTCATAGTCTCGTCCTTTTTCTTGACAAACAACACTAGGGCTCCCCCATGATGACACACTCTGTCGGATGAATTTATTGTCTAGTAACTCCTGTAATTGCTTACTTAACTCTAGTAGTTCTGATCTTGCCATCCGGTATGGAGCCTTAAAAATTGGTTACGTTACAGGTTGCAATTCTATGGTGAACTCGACATCTCGATCTGGTGGTAATCCTGGGAAGTCATCCAGAAATACATCCGAAAAATCTCTCACAACCAGTGTCTCCTGGAGTGTGAGGCTCCTACTCTCGTTCCCTATCAAAGGCATATATGTAAGACCTTTATCTCATACATTCATCAATTCAAGACTATTCGGTACAATGCCTCAAAAAAAATTAATTATTACGCATGTCAATCATAGAGAAACAAAAAAACATAATCACTGGTTACATCACCCACTCCAGCCAAAGAAGAAAAAAATAATATTTTTTTTCATATGGGTTAAAAGACTCATTGTTAAGGATCCTAAATATCACTCTTTTACGAAAGCAGTCTACATGAGCATGATGTGCAGCAACCCAATTCATACACAATATTACATATACCCCGCAGGGCTTAAACATTACATCAGTATGTAAGGCGCCACTTGTTGGCATGGATACTACAAACATGCGATCTAGTACTATTGGTACATAGAGTAGTTCATTGTCACATCCACACACATGTACAATCAATAAAGTCCATACAGTTTCCACATATTCATTATTCTTGTCATGTAGTATACATACACACGCATTGTTATTGACTATTTCCATCACTCCCTCCCCTCACTTCACACCATTACTTCCCCCCTATTTAGTAACATACACACTGTTCATATGTCCATCCCACACTTCATGTTTTTCTCTTACCCTCTCATGTATCTCTCTCTCTCTCTCATCTCTCATAATCGTCCCTCTCAGGACACTCCAGCCACCATAGTCCTCGTTCCATACTCTATTCATCTATAATAATAGTCACCATACTAGCAATGGGATGGCTCCTTACGAGGTTCTTTATAGTAGGCCCTGTAGGTCGCCAGTGTGTTGGGAAAAAGTTAAAGAGAGGCAGTTGATTAGGCTAGAACTAGTGGAAGAAACCACAGCTAAGGTGTTAGTTATATAAAAAAATTTACAGGTGGCCCAAAGTAGACAGAAAGGATATGTAGACAATCGTAGGAGGGATTTGAGCTTTGAGGTAGGAGATCATGTGTTTATGAAAGTGTCACTAATGAAGGGTTTATTAAGGTTTGGAAAGAAAGGAAAGTTGAGTCCACGTTTCATAGGGCCTTTCGAGATTCTCGAGAAGGTGGGTACTATTGCATATCATATAGCACTTCCTCTGCGGTATAGCGGGGTTCATAATGTATTTTACCATAATTTGAAACGCATTATACAGTATGAGTTATTACCATTAGAGAAGGATTTGACTTATGAAGAAGAACCGATCCATGTCCTTGAATGACAAAAAAGAAAATTGAGAAATAGAATAATACCTATAGGGAAGATATAATGGCGACATCACAAAAATGATAAAGTGTAATACCTAGGCCCAAAAAAGGTCTGAGATGTTTTTTTTATTTTTAAATTATTTATTAAAAAAATTATTCAATTTATTTTATTTTTATTTAATTGAAATTTTGAGGAAAAATAAATTAGAGACGAGATTGAAAATAATTTTAAAAAAAATTTGTGAAATTTTGAGTTCGGGGAGTATTTTTTAAAGAAAGATTGGAAACATGGAGGTTAAAGTAGAAAAAGGAAAAGTTCGGCCACATAGGACCGCCCAGTTAGAAGCTTCAACGAACTGGAGTGTGCAGAATAGCAAGACACGTTGACATCGGTGCCACATGGGAGACCACACTGGCGATCCGCATGCCCCATGATCGGATGGCCCAGGATCGATCCTACACCCGTGAATGACCCGGATTCGTTTCTCTCTTAGCCACGATCGGACGGTCGAGATCAATAGCGATGAACGGTTTAGATTCATTTTCTCCTTAGGCATGATCGAACGAACAAGATTGATCGCAATGGACGGCCTAGATCAACATGGGATGGGTATAAATACTTTGCATCACACGGGAACCCAAATATTAGCCACCAGTCTTGTTGGAGAAAAAGAACCAGATACTAGAGAAAGAGGCTGATCGCCGGCTGTCGCCGCACCAAAGCTAGTGTCGACCGCCAAAAAATGTAAAAATTCTCCCTACCCGCTCGGAATTTGATTTCGAGCACTCCTATAGTCAAATCGGAGCAAGAGGGATGGCAAGTGAGCTGAAACTCGCGGACAAAGCCTGTAGAGCTACCACGGCCAAAACCCCAAAATTCCTCCAATGAGCCACTTTCTTATTCCCGTTTCATGTGATTTTTTTATTATTGTGTTCACCGTCCTTTTCTGTGCAGGTTAGCCGAAAAAAAAACCTTAGTCGCGAAGGAGGACTGGCAGAGCCATCGCACCCAAAGGTTTTTCCCACCGGCATGTTCGATTTTTTGTGATTTTTCGACCAACCGAGACCCCTAACGTATTTTTTTGCAAGGATACGGCTAAAATTGGCCAAAATCGGTCAGGTTAAGGCGAACCGCCACTGTGGGCGAAGGGAGCCAGCGCTGGAGCACGGTGGCGGCTCTATGCCGGAACCCTAAAATATGCCGAAATGAGTTTTAGACGTTGATTTTAGATTTTTGGGGTATTTTTAGGTATGTGACGAGTGTTGTATGAGTTATTACCATTAGAAAATGATTTGACCTATGAAGAAGAACCGATCCATGTCCTTGAACGGAAAAAAAAGAAATTGAGAAATAAAATAATACCTATGGTGAAGATACAGTGGCGACATCACACAAATGATGAAGTGTAATACTTAGGCCCGAAAAAGGCCTAAGATGTTTTTTTTATTTTTAAATTATTTATTAAAAAAATTATTCAATTTATTTTATTTTTATTTAATTGAAATTTTGAGAAAAAATAAATTAGAGACGATATTGAAAATAATTTTGGAAAAGAATTGTAAAAATTTGAGTTCGATGGGTTATTTTTAAAGAAGGATTAGAAACATGGGGGTTAAAGTAGAAAAAGGAAAAGTTTGGCCACGTAGGACTGCCCAGTCAGAAGCTTCAACGAACTGGAGCGTGCGAAATAGCAAGACACGTTGACATTGGTGCCACACGGGAGGCCATGCTGGCGATCCACATGCCCTATGATCGGACGACCCAGGATCGATCCTGCACTCGTGAACGGTCCAGATTTGTTTATCCCTTAGACACGATCGGACGGTCGAGATCAATAGTGATGAATGGTTCAGATTTGTTTTCTTCTTAGGCACAATCGAACGAACGAGATTGATCGCAATGGACGTCCTAGATCAATGCGGGATGGGTATAAATACTTTGCATCACACGGGAACTCGAGCCCTAGCCACTAGTCTTATTGGAGAAGAAGAACCAGATGCTAGAGAATGAGGCCAACCGCCGACCGTTGCTGCACCAGAGCCACTGCTAGCTGCCAAAAAAAGTAAAAATTAACCCTACCCATTCGGAATTCGATTTCGAGCACTCTTGTAGTCAAATCAGAGCAAGAGGGATGGTGGGTGAGCCAAAAATAGCAGACAAAGCCAGCGAAGCCACTACGGCCAAAATCCCAAAATTCCTCCAATGAGCCACTTTCCGATTCCCATTTTATGTATTTTTTTATCATTGTGTTCACTGTCCTTTTCTGTGAAGGTTAACCGAAGAAAGAACCTTAGTCGCGAAGGAGGACCAACAAAGCCACTGCACCCGGAGGTTTCTACAGCCGGCATGTTCAATTTTTTGTGATTTTTCAGCCAACCGAGGCCTCTAATGTATTTTTCTGTAGGGATACCGCCAAAACCGGTCAAAATCGGTCAGGCCAAGGCAAACCACCATTGTGGGCGGAGGGAGTCGGCGCCGAAGCATAGTAGCAGTTCTGTGCCGGAACTCCAAAATATGTCGAAATGAGTTTTGGACATCGATTTTAGATTTTTGGGGTATTTTTAGGTATGTGACGAGTATTTTGGATTCTACCAAAAAAGTTCAGGAAACTCAGTACCTGTTAGGATGCATAATAGACAGGTCAATATCTCAAAACACCGATTCAAGTAAAGATCCCTCAGCCTATTCTCTATTACGGTAAATTGAAGCTTAATGATATATAATTTCGTATTTTTATGAAAAATTAAAAAATAATAAAAATAATTACAGGTTACTTGTGGAGCTGAAACTGGTTAATTCATAATTGTCTTGATTTTTTATTTATTTTTCTATACTGTTCTACTTGTTTGATTAATCCACTATATGATTAAAATTATTAATTTTAAATTATTTTTTTATTTATTGATTGTCTGATCGCGATCTTTATCTGATTCATTGATTTGAAATAAAGGACCCAATTATGTTTCTTAATTATTGAGGTATGAAATCGCATTGTTTGCTTAAATGTCATTTGGTTAATCTGTGAATATACAATGAAATATTGATATGCACTTGTTGGTTGTTTGTTGATAGAAATCTATATGTGAAAGACTTACTAAGTACCTGAAAAAGGGTGGACGGGCCCGACACATAGGGAACCCTACTGTTAACGTTACCTCAGTCGGACAGGATTGGGAAGTCCCTTTCCAAAAAGGTTTGGGAGATAATATTTACCCTCATACTGGACGGGGTATTGAGGCGATGGAATATTTGGCACCAATTACCAGACAGAGTATGGAGATGGTCGGTTAATTATTTAAATTGGATATCGGGTTCACGAGTAGGAGGGACAACCCTATAAACACCCAGGGAAACCAGTAAGCAAGTAAAAAAGAAAAGTTATTGTTTCTTGTTCTCTTATGCGTGAAAGTGAAAAGTGATATGGATATGGATCTTCATAGGTTGTCTTTGGAAAACTCGTTAAGGTAAATATCAAACAAACGTCTTCAAGTTTAAATGTATTTAAATAAAGTAAGGACTCTATTAGTTATTTTTCTGATTTTTTACCAATATTCAGTTTTTCGTATCTATAATTAGTGTGATATTCTTACTGAACTAATGTAGCTCACCATTTCATTAACTATTTCATATCAAGAGGAGCAAGATCTAGATCCCGATCAATAAGAGAGTCGTGAGTAGGTCACTACCCGAACTCCTTTTAAGTGCTAGTGAAGGTGTCTTAGGATGCTTAATTATTCGCTTTTTGTTTTATTTCTTTAATTTTTATTTGTCTTTTAGAATAGACATTCTTGTATCCCTATTGGACATTCTAAATTACTGTATAATGAATGTAAACCATAACTTCATTAATCACTTTCCTATTGGACATTCTAAATTATTGTGTAAATAATGTAAGCCCTAACTCCATTTCGGGTCTTTACAGTTGGTATCGAAGCTGCGTTCCTCATAATCATTCCTTATACAAAGACTTAAAAACACCAAATATAAATTATCGCTCAACCTTGTGAAATACAAGTACAAGAAAATGAGGAGAGAAAAACCCCCCACTAAACCAAACAGTCCAGGATGACTCACTTCGAAAGGATGTTGACCGACTTTTTAAAATGCTGGAGAGACTCATCTCTACCTAACAGACCCAGGAAGAAATGAAGGAGCTATCTAACCCTCCCTCGCTGCCATAATTTGAGCTACTTTTGCAGCAGGAAGATCTGAAGCCACCCCGATACAACCTTGCTCCTCTACCATACTATCCGGCACCACCACAATACAATCTGGTTCCTCTACCGCATCATCTGGTATCGTCATAGTATAACCCGGTGCCTGCATCATATCATCTAACACCACCACAGAGCCACCCGGTCCCTCTCCAACACAATCCAGTTCCTCTTCCACGGGATCTAGTTCCACCCATGATGGACTCATACTACATTGAAAGGCACAAAAGACTAAACTCATTTACCTTTGCAGGGGCATCCTCTTTTAAAGAGACTGAGTATTCGTTAGCTGAGACAGAGAAGGCCTTCACGACTCTTGGGTTAGTTCCCGAACAGAAGGTTGTACTTGCCACATACATGCTTATGGGAGAAGCAGACCGCTGGTGGCAGCTCAAGCAGGCCACCCTGCCTATTCCGGTCACTTGGGAACAGTTCCTGATGGCCTTCAATACAGAGAACCTCCTAAAACACCTCTGACATTTGAAAGAAATGGAGTTTGCACACCTAGTCCAAGGTGATTTGACTGTGTCAGAGTATGTTTGAAGGTTCCTAGAGTTGGGCCGACATTCTTCTGAGAGCATTATGGATGAAGGCAGAAAGGCAAGGAAGTTCAAGTGGGGCCTCCACCCTAAGATCAGACAGCAGCTATACATATTTGAGCTCAGTAAGTCGTTCTGGCCAAGGCACAACTAGTGGAGATGAACCTTTGCATCTTTTCTCCAGTAGTGGAGAATCTCATACCCCCAGTTTCACACTACAGACTAGCACCCACTGCACCAACGCAGCAGAACAAAAGGTC